TTAAATTCATTCACAGCATAAACAAATTCATAAAAATGAATAAATCCACCTGCTTATCACTCTGAGGTTTTTCTCGCTACAATAGTTCATTAGGCCTAAGTGCTGCAAAGCCAGACAGGAATTATTAAATACCTGTCACATGATGTGCAAAGCTGATGTAGAGAATACTAAAAACATAACTGCCACCTCCAAACAGTGCAGATCAATTATCAGTGGTATCCACTGAATGTTAAGTGTCCTTGTAGGTCTGCTGGTTGCAGAGAGGCCTGCTGAGAAGGACTGGCTATTTCTCCTTAATCTTGGAAGGAATTTTTTTTTCAGCGACGCCAGAACTCCTTAGACATGATTAGGAAAGGAGGGAGGAACAAGACAGTAGAAGATGGAGCAGGAGAAGAAAGACTGAGGCAGGGAGACTGAGAAGGGATTGAAAAACAGAGGAAGATGGACAGAGATCAAGGAGACAGTGACAAAACCAGAAAGTTAGAGACAGAGAATGAAAGTGACAGAGAAGGAGGCAGCGAAACAGCAAAGAGAGAGAGAAACACCCGACCCTGATATCAGTGAAAGCAGGTTAACACAAGCAAGCAGCTGGTTAAAAAGCAGTGCTGATGGCAGTTGAGTGCGGTTGGTCTTATTTGCCTATGTATCTGCAACTACAACACACAACACAAAGACGCCTATTGTCTTATGTCGGACAACACGGCTGAAGCTTATGGCTGAACATAATGTTGCACTTCATCAATTTGTAGCGCAACTCTTATCATAAAAATAATTTGTCCCCAATCCACTTATTTACAGCACAGCACCGGACTCCCAGAGGTGGTGGGAGGAGGTTGGAGGTCGAGGAGACATGTCTCTCAACTCCACTTCTACTGACAACAAACACAAGAGGAACCATAGTGCTGTGTGAAAACTTACTCTCTTCTTCATTCGCATGAACAAATGATGCTGCTCTTGACAGAACATCCAGTGGGGTCTCCATGCTTGGACGCCTGCGGGACAGAGGAGAGAGCACTGTGTTGAAAATGTTGACTTGGCTTTCTATGTAGCATTTTATACAGAAACTGAATTAAAATTTGATGGCTGCCACGTCATCAAGAGCCTCAAAATTGTTCCAAGGTCTAACAGGTTTCAAATGACGAATAAAGTCATTAATATTTTTATGAAGACAAGGGCAGGGTATCATTTGCATTTTTTTTGATAACAGTGCCAATATGACACCTGACTTCCAGTAAAGATATCAAAATGAGATTATTCTATATCATTCCCTTTTTTCCACCATTTTTAGATTTTCCTATCAAACACCTTTTCTGTATTTTTGTATCCTGTGGCTGAGGGAAATGTGCATTTAGACATAAACAGACTAAATTCCAATTTATTTGAAACTCTAATCTCAGATCTTTGTCTCAATTTTTCCTGCATTTAAAACCAAACCACTTCCTTGTTTTCAGGAAAATTTCAAAATACTGTTGGGAAATAACAAACCCACAGAATAAAGAATTACCAAAAGACATGATCATACCTATAACATCTGCATTGCTGCAGGTGAAACAGTACCTACAGTAGCGCTGGATAAACCTAATTTATTGAATGACAAAAACTGTCTATCTCTTACTGACCTGCATTAACTCTCACAGCAGTAATCTAAATCCTGTAATTGAACTGAATCTGGTTACAATAACCACCTACATCTAACCAGACATTCAATCAAACATTTAGCCTTAAGTCAGGTCCAGAGGTCTATAATATTTGACTGGTCATATTTTAATTGGTGCAGACAAACATAAAAAAGTACAACAGTACAAGACAGTAAATACCACTTACTTTAGTGTTTTTGAAAATGGTTGGTACTGTAAGCGAGGCAAATGTGACAATTTATTGTGATGCAGATTTCAGGACATATTGTTCAGCTCTACTATAAAGTTGCCCAAATTCACTGGTGGGCTGCAACCACCCATTATTTTCTTCATCAATTAGGCTTCTGATTATTTTCTCAATTCTTCGATTAATTGTTTGGTCTACCAGAAAGTAGTGAAATATATACCTGATGCAAATTTGCAGTCTTCAGAAGTCTTGTTTTGTCTGGCCAACAGTTCATAACCCAAACATATTCAGTTTACTATCTTCTTCTATCTATAAACAAAGAAAATCATTAAATTTCTCACATTTGAGACGGTGGAACCAGAGAAACTTTGCAATTCTTGCTAAAAGAATGACTAAAACGATTCTGATTATTAAAATAGTTAACAATTAATTTCCTGTCCATCACTAATTGCCTACTTGTTGCAGATCTAATTTGCTCCATGACCAGCAACAACATTAAATGCTGCTCACACCATAATGCAACATCACTATTGAAATTAACAGTGTAATATTGAGTGTATGACAAGACGCATTAAGGGCCATTCTGCAGAATGATACAACTACACTTAGCGGATAAAACTTCTGTACTTTTAACAAAGTAGAGTTAAGAATTCAGGACCTTTGATTTCCAGTTGTTGTATTGCTCCTTTTAAAGGGTATACTTTTCTCATCACTGTTGTTTCATTACTCCATACAGTCTTTTATCATCATGACCTTCAAGTGATGTTTGAGCAGTCTTTAACTTTGTATAAGCGTTTTTAGGATTTTTGTCCTACAATGTTGAGCCTTCAGTCTGGCTGTGCTATGAAAGGTATTTGTGGATTTTTAAAAAAACAAAAAACGCTCCAGCGCGCTTCTCTTCCCTCTTTCTGCATTCCTGAGATACCTTTCCCTCATTTCTCCGGGAAAACACTGTTTTGAGCGAGAATATAATGAGAAAACTTCAAAATAAAATGCAGAACAGGTCAGGTTTATTCTGCCTACAGCTCTGACACTCACCGTCTGCGTGGTGCGCGTGAAGAAATGCGACAAACTTCTGTGTTGAGACCGACTTGGGCAAAATGAAACCAATGATATTAGAAGCAAGTGCTTCCATTTTTATTCTCACCAGCCGTGTATAGTATTTATATCAGCCTGAGTCAGTGCTTCCTTATCAGTTCTCCCTTAAGAGGTATCCAGGAAGCCTGGCACTGACCTGAAACTGGCTCAAGGGAAGAAGAGATGTAGGCTACTTGATTTTAGGTTTCTCTCTCTCCTCTCATTTCCTCCTTACTCAAAGCACAACAGAGAGACAGCTACTTGTCCAAAATCCGTGGAGGACAGCATGTGGCTAAAGTGGAGGGGGGGTTTCTTGACATGAGAAAGTTTGGGAACCCGCCAGTGCCGCTTCATATCGTGAATGAAATTTCAGCTATCACCTTCGTACATCTAGACGGGTGTTATTCCAGCACTTTCTTCTCCACGCTGTCCCCATTTACAAGATGAATATTTCAGACAGACTGACTGAGTTTGACCCGTACAAGTACAAATGAAGAGCACACTCTCATCCTACAAAACCGAAACAATGTCAAGTCACACACAACTTCATGTTTAGCAGCACATACCTCCTTCAAGCGCCACTTTGGTATCTTCCAGTATGATAATGTTCACACAAGAGGTAAATTCAAACAAAAAAAAAGTATATTCCACAGAGATATAAAACAAAAACAGTCGCAGCCAGACGCTCCAGTACGAGGGAAGACAATAGTAGCAGAGCTGTCGGAGCAAACTTGGTTGTAAACGAGGAAGAGGAGGAGGAGGAGGAGGGAGGGAGGAGGAGGAGGAGGGAGGGAGGGAGGCAGGAATGCCTGGAATGATGGAATTCAGTTCCTAGCAGGTGGTGAAAGTGAAGCGCGCTGATTGGTGGAGGACTGGAGCAGTGATATCAGCATACATTATGATAATAAAGCGTTGCATCACATCCTCTGAAGGTGAGGCTGCTGTCACTGGGTTTGCGACTCAAACATTTTAGTGTGATGAAGCACAATCAAGTAACGTTCAAGCACCTCAAAACTGTACGTAACCACTGTACTTGAGTAAATGTACTTAGTTATTTTCCACCACTAACAGCACAGTTGGGCTGTGTGTGGAGCTGTGAAAATTGTTGACCTGAGAAGTGTCAAAGAAAAGCACGTGTGCTCAGCAAACAATCCCAAAGTACATAGAGATTATTAAAAACAGAGGCTGTGTAGATTGCTGGAGGGCGATAAGGCAAAGATATTAGAGGAAGTGATGTCAGCCTGCCTTTAAATGATTCATGTGTCCATAGCTGATGACATTTTCAAGTATGACTAATGATGCAGTAGTGAATACAAAGGTGGATAAACAAAACAATTGACAGGAAGTAATTGATATTTTAATTTGCGACTCTACTACTGACTGTAATATGATGGAACAAAGTACTTTTATCACAGTACTGACCTGGTTTTTTTAATATGTTCTCTTAGATATTTCATATTATAAGAGGGAAAGGAGAGAATAAAACAAATATGATTAACCTTATCTTTTTTAATGGCCAAATTCTACATTCATAAATGTAAATTTAGACTCCTCTTTCTTGAATTAAAAAAATACATTTATAGGTATCTTCATACAATTTTCAGAAACATTAAGAATGCTTCATTTGCTTTGTTCCATGTTTGTTTAGTGCTTCTATTGCATATGTTTTTCTCCATGGCCAAAGTGTATTTAGTCATCTGTAATATGTAATATCTGATTAGAAATAGTAAAGTTACCACAGCTGATATTTTGACTTCTTATAGCAGGAAAAGGTGTATCTGACTTTATTAATGACAGATTTGCTCCATTTTGGTGTCCCAGGCTTTTCCTGTTTTAACATGTCAAAATGTCCTCTGTGAAAAAAGCCTGTGATACAGCTGTATAAAAATATAAACATCTTCCCAATCAAAATCTCACCCTCAGAATGAATGTTTCACTTCAATCTGCCATAGTGACATATCAATTACCCTCAATATCAATTAAACTTTGTTAAATTATCTTGTAAATCCAGTGTTTTGTGACAAAATAAATTAGTGAAAACAATGTATATATAGTATGTTTTCATTATTTTTCTTACCATTTCTGTGTTTTTATAGACTAAAAAAGTCTTGGTACTGAAGACACAGTGATCAGACACACTGTTATATGAAAAAATTTATTAAACCCATCTTTTATAACTGCATTAGACTGCAGCAAATGTTTGTGAAGAACCAATCGATGCACCGACTGGGGGCAGAGAGGTGTACCAGTTTCTTTATAACAATTAGACAGACTCCTCCTTAACAGCTTCTCAAGAAAGTGTGACCATATCTTTAGTTTATGAGCACTGGCTGAGAAATGGTGCCACCATCAAGAACACTCTTAACACGAGAAGAGTTAAGAGATGACAGATTTGAGATCTTTGGCAAAGAGAGACAAGAGAGAAGTGTGTGTTTGAGTGTGTAACACTAGTCCACAGCTGAAAGGAAACAATCAATGCCCTCCTTTTTTGAGTACAGTGATGAAAATTGCTCATAAAGATTTCTTCACTTTACACCATATTAGCTGCTCATCACTTGTCATCTAGGTAGCACTATTCACATAGAGAATGACACACAGATGTGACACATGCATGACCCACATGAGAATACTCATTATTTCTTCATTATACTTGTGGTACTTGTTGCAGTGTAGTCCAATTAGCAGCTCTTCACCAGTCACTCTGTGTGTGTGTGTGTCATCATCCAGAAAGGTCCAGTGTGTATTACACTGAAATGTCAGCCATAATTCAGTCTGTCTCGTAAAATGTCACCCATTATTCTACAACTTTTATGAATTGCACGATAAAGGGCAGTTGCACAGGTGATTCTAAACTATTCAGACAGCCTTCCACCTGGTCAGTGATCCCATTCATACAGACTATGGAGTGACACAACCACAGGTTAGTGGACATTTGATCCAGCCAGAGTTTGTCAGGGTAAAAAAAAAGGTGATGGAAGGTCGATTGTCATACTGACAGTTAGAAAGACAAACAGGTTCCCGGTGAACAGGCTGGTTCACGACATCTGGGAGACAGACGGCTTCCTTCTCCAACCTTTCCACATCTTCATTAGTTTCTTGGAGCTGTATGACACTGTCTTCCACAAGCCTGAGGGGGACCAGGACACACAGTGCACTGAACGTTAACAAGCAAATTAAAAGAAAATGATGTCCATATTAGAACAGCTGTCAATGCACAGTTGAAGGTTTAAAAGGTGTCTCATTTGAAGCTGCAAAGTTAGCGTCAGACATGAGAGTGGCATCAATCTCCACGTGTGACAATCTCAGTAAGAAAGGAAGTGTATCACCCATAATATCATACCATCTTTATCTATTTACTTGAATGGATCGGATGCACCAAATCAGCCTATAAAGTATTAACATAACCTGACAACCTTTAATCTAGTGCTGTGTCTCAAATTGTGTACTTCCATATTCACTTGCTGTTTTGAATGCCTAAGTGCGTTCACACTGACAAGTATGGCGACATGCAGTGCACTTTAAGTACCCGGATAGTGAGCTCAAAATGTTCAAAAAGTTGAGTGTAAAACGACAGACACCGCCGAGTCTCGAACCACCACTATACTTTTGTCAGTGTCAATGTCAGATAGAAGCCATTAGTATGTTGGTTTTGTTGGACATGACCCTGTTGGAATTCACACACTACACCAGTTAGTGTGTACACGGTGTTCTGCATGTGAGTGTGCTGACTGAAGTATCCGATTAGAGACACAGCATAGGATTCTGTCACAATATCAAATGAACAAGAAAAGAGTTCTTACCAGCTGTAGCAATGCCTTTGATACTCTGTGTTATACTGGAGGATTTCACAATAGATGAAATACCTGAAGAAAAACAAAAGGATGTTCAAACACGCAATTAAAAACACATTTAATATCTCATCACTCTGCAATATGATTTTATGACTGCTGCTTCAGGCAGAGCCTGTATAATCTACTAACAAGGACATCTCCCCCCGCAGAATACATTTAGAATTTATTGTTTTCTGCTCCTGTTCCAAGGCTCAGAGATCGAGCTTAAATGTACTGAGGGACTCTAACAGGCATCTCTGAACCCCAGGCAAGGTGGATCCACACAGTCATCAAGCTGGGATGATAGCTCCTTATTAGGGAATGGAAATTGGTGGAACTGATGGAGTGGTGATGTAGACTTCCAACCCCTGTTGTTTGATTTTGACAAATGGTCTGGAAACAGTGGACAACTAAATGCTTGCAGCTTATTTTCTGTGCGTATATGTGTATATCTTTATTTTGTCATGTTCATCTTTATTCCTGTGATGTTATGGAAGCATATTAAAAATGAAGAACTTTGGTCATAGAAAAAAAGAATTTATTGTTTTCCATTTAATCCATCCATCCAATCCACCAATCTCCATCTGGACAAGAAACTTTTTTTTGCATATTGCCATATAAAGATGATCCTTTGATGATGAAAGATGATACTTTTGACAATACACTGGCTGTGTTAGTATGTTGGTACTTTATCTAATATTCACCACACATGATATTGGCCTTGATATGTACATCCACTGTGCACTGTATCTCAGGTCTCACTGATAGAATTTTAATGAAACATATGGGAGGTGATTTTTTTATCCCTCCGCCCTTTTTTTCCTCCGTACCTTGCTGTACGACAGCTCCACAGTCCGGGTCCTGAGCCACCTGCAGCAGGATCTCCTCCACGTCTCGGTTCTTCCCCGGCGGGTCGACCAGCTTTGTGATCCTTTGCTGGAGGGTACGTGGCAATGCCATCAGCTGGGTAAACTGGCCCTCTGGGCTTTTGTCTACCTGCAGGTACACAAGAATATTGTCATTTATTGTAATTTCTAGTATTTATAACACTAGCCAAGGAATATTGTAAGCTCAGTTAGAGCTGTTCAACTTTTGAACCCAGATCCTGTGTGAATGTAACCTTGCTCTAGGACCCTAGCTGATTAAAACTAGGTCTGAATAATATGCAAAAAAAAAAAAAAAAAAACGTATTGTGATTTTGGCAGATATTACGATTGCAACATGAATTGATGATGTGATTTTTGTTGGGTCTTGTACCATGGTCCTTTATGTATGAAGAATATGTTTTGTAGGCAGAGGCATCTCTGCAGCACTATCCGCAGGCATATGCACTATTTTGCTAACCTACAGGTGGCAGTAACACAGCAACAGATGCAGCAATGTGCCAGCAAAGGCGGGCCGGCTAGTAAACCTGGATGTAGACAAAACAGGATTTCAAATAAAAAAAAATCCGCTTTGCAAATGCTTTATGAGGGAGGCAAAGTATTCAACATCTTTATTAGACCTCAGGGATGCATTCTGGTGAGTAACAGTAACTATAAACATAACTTTTGTGTTCCCAAGAAAACTCCACAGGGCAGCTTAAAATCCACCCCACATAGTGGTGCTACAAATAAAAACTAAGATAGTGTATTATACTGTGTGTACTCAGGAAAAGGGGTTTGGCTTGGGGGGTAAATTATGCTGACTGAACTTAAACACATTCTAGGCGTACAAATCAACTGCACATCAGTCTGCAGCTGGTTCATGCTTGTGTGACTTCTGCCGCACTGCCTAATGACGCACAAGGGCACAAGTGTATCTCTCACATGCGGGGCTCACAGTGCACAATTCCCCAAAGCACTGTTCATTGCAAAAGGTATTACTCACTTACATATGACACAAACAATAGAAACACAGTGCCTTGCTCTTAGCTGCTCCTCCTAACAACTTACTAAACATGTTATTCCAGGATGGTGTGATGCCTGGGGTGACGAGTATTTCCTTGGTATAACAGGGTGTGGTGCCAGTTAAACAGTTAAAAAAAAAAAAACTAATGTCAAAACAAAACTGTACACTGAGAAAATTGCAGAGGAATGAGTATTCATGTCATTTAGTCTATACAAATCCAAATATACTGTATTGAAAACAGGTAACAAGAAAATCCACTAAAATCTACTGTACAGGAAGTAAGTTAAAGTTTATTTAAGTTTGTTTAAAGTTTTTTTTACATTAAACAGCATTTTGGTCTATGGGTAATGCAACATGTGTACAGCACATAATATCCAAGATGAGCTGTGTTGCTTGAGCATCCTATGAGATAATAAATAATAGGTCCGTGCTGTGCTGTGTGTGTTTGCCATGTCTTACCTCAAGTTTTCCTTGCTGAGGTTTGTAGACCACTTGAGGGCAGTCCCTCAGGATATTGCTATACAGAATCCTGAAGTGCTGAAAGTTGTCTTTGACGATGTTGGCCACCTTGGATTTGTCTTCTCCAATCACCATCCTGAAATCCCCTGCAGAGGCGAAGACAAAATATTTTCATTTAAGTGTTAATATATCTGCTTTACAGTTTATCATCTTTGTTGTAGTGCCATAGCAATAACAAAGTCTGAGACATTAAACTCCTTCTGCTGTTCAGTTTCTTGTGGAAAAATCCTGACAGTGCTAAAATACTTGTTATCTCATTCATTAGGGCATTACCTCCTACCTCTGTTGTGTGGGGAAGCTACATGGCAACACTCACCTTGTCAGTATGTAAACATTTTTAGGGTTAGCATTGATTTACTTGCTTCTATTTCCCTACGTTACATCTGAAGAAATCAAACAGGTTAGTTTTGTGTCTCTGCATACTAGAACCAATAGGCCAATTACTTAGAGCCATTCTCTAAGATTGCAAATAACAATCCAATATGATAGAGCCTATAGTACATGCGTATCTACAAAGTAAACTAGATTTTAAACCACACAGGTTAGAAAAGCTAACAACAGGCTTTGATATCTCCTCTGCTGTCTTTGAATAACTGCACGCTGTGTGATATACATGTGTATCTGTTTCATTTTTTTTTAGGTTTATGTAGTTGTGTGGGTAACTTACCGGCATAAGAAAGGCCAGCTATCTGCAGGAATAGGTCTTCCTCAGTGAAGCTCTCTGGCAGCATGAGGAAGGAGGCCGTCACAGTACTCTTCAGGTTCGCCACCAGAGCAGCACGGAGCTTCGCATTCTCACTCTGCACCAGCATTTTCACCTGTATGGGATGGGCAAAAGCAAAAGTAGTGAACCATTTTTGAAAAATACATTGCACTGTTTCTACACATCCAAATACTTGGATTGACCGTTCATAGCTTGCACAATAAATAAATCCACAATAAAATAAGTAGCTTTAGATTGCTTGGTTCTTCTGATTGATTCAGTCACAGTCTAATCATAATACTGACCGGTTTGTGAAGGCGTCCAGCAACGTACAAGGTCTTCCAGTGCATCAGGTCATCTATTAGAGACTCCGTACTAATGACACCATATTTGATTATCTGAAAGGAAGAGGGAAAGGTCATAGACATATGTAGTTCATACATGTACAGTTATGTTCAGACAAAAAACAATGACATATTATAGAATATAGATATTAAGTTTTAGGAGAAGGCAATTTTCATACTACTTTTACTACAATTATTAATTTGCTTCTAGAAATACAAAATCAATGTTCTTTTTAAATTAACATTCCCTTTTCTACCTAGAGACAAGGTTGGCCTGGTCCCATCAGCTCTACACAAAAAAGTAAATTCTGAGAAGCAGACACAGTGTGAGTAACTACAACAGGTTAAACATGAACTGAGGAGATTTAAGAAGAAAGTGAGAACTGGGCAGTTTCATCAAGAAAAAATGTAGTAGATGTTGACTCAGTAGGCTAGAATAAGAAAAAAAGATGTCATTTACCCTCCCATCCACAGGCACCAGTGTGTTGTAGTATACCGCAGCCCCGTGTTCATTTTGTATGGAGCTGATCATCGTGGGCCCAAACAGCTTGAGGATGGAGTAGTGTTTGCGGTTTTGCAGCAGATTCATAGTGTGCCATGTCACCGGGTCGTCCACCGCAAACACAAAGTCCAGCATGTTCTTCTGTACATGTTCAAATTGAAAACAATAGGGAACACAATATTTTCTTAAGCCATGAATTAGGACACAGCTTCTTACATATTATTGTTTTTATCAGCTTGTAGTGGGATCATATTGTGGTGATAGGTTACTTATTATATATTATATTATATAATAATATATAATAGTAGATAGCAATATTGTCCATATTAACTGTAACTGAGCAAACTGCAATACAAAAAATAACAAAATTAGTTATTCAGTTTATTGTTATTGAGGTTATTGTTACACACATGTGACAAGTTTTGTGTGATGTAATGCATAACAATGGAGCACAGAAAAACAACTTCATTATTTTACACTACTAAAATATATATGGAATATTGTGATGCATATCAGAAACTTACCAAAATTAATATAGGGTTATTTATTTCAAATACTCATTTGAATATAGTGATGTGGATTTCAAATATCCATATTAATGTGTCAACATTCAATTCAAACACATTGCCCACCCCTTATGTACTAATAGTGAGCCTTGTTACTAACAACATGCAATTTTCACCATTTGTAACGTCGGACACTGCAAGAAAAAGGACAGGAAGTATAGCATGATAAGTGTAACCTTTCTGGAAAATGGACCATTAGTCTGTCTTTATTTATTGAAGCATGTTTAGTCTAGAAAGGGTATACTGTAAGAATGCTGTACAGTTGACTTACAGTGCAAGGTCAGGTACTAATGAAAAATATATTAAAGGTTTGTAAATTAATTAATGGTTAACTAATTATTTAATACTGCTTTATATAGCTGTTATAAGATGCTAACTATAACAACTTTTGGGTTGCCAGATTGTGGAGAATCAAAATCCACTTATAAACAGTGTATTTACATTTATAACTATAGACTCGATGTATCATTGTAGAACCCCTTATTAATGATTTCTTAACGTTTATGGGTGACTAACCTTTGCTGATGTCTTATTCCAAAGTGAGACACCTTATAAATTTCACTAATAACTTACTAACGTCTATAACTGTGTGCAAGATGACTCATTAGCAAGTGAGAAGCCCTTTGTTGATGACTTACTAACGTTTATGAACTTGACCGCTTGGAGGTGCCTCCCTAATGAATTCATATGCTAGCAAAGTGTCATGTTGGAGGAGGATTTTCCACAACATGGCAACCCAAAAGTTATCGTTCTTCCTGACTAATAACTAATCTGTAAATCATCATTAACCGATTCATTAACCATTAATAAAGATTAATTCATTATATCTTATAAAGTCTTTGTAAATGGTGCCTTGTCAGAAAGAATCAGACAGTATGGAAACTGGCAGGACAGGTGTCTCCTACCTCCATTTGACCTTGGCTTGTCCCATGCTGTTTGAATACGCCAGAGCCATAGGCAAAAGCTAAGCTGATGTCCTGGGGAAACTGTGACAGAATCCTTCTGTATAGCACGCCGGTGTTGTGCAGAGCTGGGAGAGTCATTTTGAGCTAGCTAGGACTATTTTTCATCAGCAACAGTAGCTGGTTTATGAACAAGATAATCGACTAAATAACGGGTAAAACAAAGTTTCGAACGCGTGAAGTAAGAGATACATTTCAGACGTAGGGACTCGGTGCCGCCAAACACGACCGCAGACCCTGGATATCAATGTATATGTCAGTTTTATCGATTAACTTCGTCCATAAGCTCAGTTTGGGTCAGCTGTGTGGCTTGACAGTCGACTAAATTTTGCGTCACAGATTCCGCTGCGGGTTGAGGGCTCACGGGAAATGGAGTCAGAGATGGAAGGTAAGCGACTCAAACCGTGAAACTACTGTTGAACCGTTAAACTGCTTAATTAATGACTACTTTGTTACTTATTGTGCACGAAGCTACGCTCTATGATTGAATGTTGTTGTGAAATATAAACTGGGTAACACATTGTTGTATTTTACAATTGAATGAAAGCTGAACGACTCAAAATTTAGCCGGCAGAGGGCGGTTTTCTACCAAGATTAGCTAGGTGGCAGTGAGGTTATGCTAATTTGTGAGAATTGTTGTGTACACACAGAAGCTACATGAGGTTGTACCAGACACCTTCTGCTTTATTATTCATTGTGAAAGTCCCATGAAAAGGGTTTAAAGAAATAAGTGTCATGAAGCTACACAGTATAAATACACTCAATTGGCAGTTTGCATGAGGTACTCTAAGCTAAAAAGCTCTAAGCTAAAACTAAGGCAGCAACGGTCCTGCAATAACTCCTGTTCAGTTCTTCTCCAAACTGTTTTAGAGAGGTGTTGATTTAACTGCTTGGTCATTTTGGAGGCTGTAGGTTGTGGTGCTGTTGAATTGTATTGCATAATATTGGCAAGTGTTTCTATGATTTGGTCCACCCAATTTTTCAGAAGTTAATGTTAATTGTGAGTAAATAGGCACTGATACATTTAGCTTGCATTTTCTGTTTCCTTTTCATGGAGCATAGTAACATCAGTTTCTTGTGAGCAATGGTTAAGTCTTTTTTATTCATCAAAGAATAGTGTAGGCGCAGTAAAAGTCAGGACTGATCATGCAACTGGATTACTATTTTCTATTTTGCCATCTTAAAAACTCTCTACAGTGCTCAAAACAAAAGACACCAAGCACACCCATGAAAGTAAAATTGTCTTAAGTTTTTGAGATTCGTGTGAAATACTTCTGCAGCAGTAAAAGCCAAAAAGATTGTGAGGCCATCATCAGTCTTCACCACAGCATTAGTGCAAGTCTTATAGGCCTAATGTGCACATTTGTTTTAATGAATAAATATTGAATGTAGGTTCGTGACAGTTAGCAATATGTCTGCAGCTCATTATGGTATTGTCAAGAGTGGGACAAATATTATCTTCTTAGTAATTGCCGTGAGCCATCTTTTCAGCCAGATGAATATTGATAAGGTCACTGAATCCTGACTAACAAGCTCACTCACTGTTTAAGTGCCTCATCAATTCAGGGACAAGCACCAGTAGGACCAAAACGGTATTTTTTCATTTTTTTGTCTTATACTACATCATGTAAATGTTATATTAACACTTGTGATCATGGCTTTAGAGGTGTACATTAGTCCTTACCCTCTATACATTCTGCTGGCCTCTGGCTATTTCTCCCTCCCCATAGTCTGTAAGTACTATCTCTGAATTACCTCATGAATCTGTAATATCATCAAATGTTTTGGATTTCTATGATCAAATCGTCCTTTAGTGGCAGTTATTGTATATTTGAATGAATTAAGCAGCTTAATCCACAAAACTGTTGAAGACATGTTAACAAACCATTTCCTATTTACACATCAAACAGAGACTGTGCATTAGCAATTATTTTGAATTGTATTTCTGGCCAGCTTATGAATCTAAGTCTAATATTCATTCTCCTTCCATCAACTCCCCAGGGAAATATCTGACTATTTAGTGACTATGTTCATCAGCTAGTCTCTAACTTTGTCTGTCTGTCAGCTGTCTGGTACTGGGTAGGTAACATATAGTGGATAAATCAACTGGAAACAAAATTGATGAGAGCAATGAGACTGAACCCACAGTGTAAAATCTTGCGCCATAAAGCCAAAACAATGAGCTGAAAGACTAAAACTCTTTGTAGAGCTGAGGAGAACTCCAGAGTTAGGTGATAATTCAAAACATACAATCATACAAATATTCTTTAGTCCAGCTTTTAGCCACTTGGTGGCAGTGCAATAAAGTAGAATCATCAATTTTTTAGTTGATAGGACAAGCCTGTTATACCTGTTGCTTATACATATCAGCAGCTACAGAGCAATATTATCATAATCATAATATTTTGTCAATAGATCGCTTGATACATTGTTTTTTTATGAAAATATTTATTATAGCCGCATTAAGGAAACTACACAGTTAACTGTATATGAAAATTAAGGACTGAGATAGACACCGTTCATGCTCAGTGTTGCTAATAGCAGAAAACTTACTGTGGCACAGGGAAAGTGGGCTCAGGTAGTGAGGCAAAGAAGAAGGTTGAAGGCAAGTAGACAGGAAGAAAAACTCACAGTGAGATTTCTCCCATCACACCTCCATCTTTCCTCATAGTGTTTGTGTGGGCCAGTGTGAAAATGACGGAGGTGATAGGAATTAACGCAAAGGCTGCCTGTGTTAACTTTTGGTATGGAACACAGAACAACTAATTAAACTGAATCAATGTTTGTGCTGATTGCACATTGATTTTCCAATTTCAAGTGATTCAGGCAATGTTTCTATCTCATGGTTTAGTCTGAAATTGCCACATGATTTTTAACTCACAGTGCCTGTCCTAGAGTGTGACTGGCTGCCTCAGGAACAATTCATTTAGATGTCAACAGCTTTGATAGGTTTGACTTGGCAGAGACCCAGATTGCAGTTCAGTTTGCAGTTCATCTTTTGCTGGTGAAGCCTAAATATTTGTCAGTCCCTTGGTTTACAGGAATTTCAGAAGGCAAATTATAATAAAACTCAACTACATGATGAAGAATACAGATCACACTGAATCGTGCAAATCTTCAGAGGCGCATTAACACAACACACACATATCCTACGTTTAATATTATCACATATTACATATCACATATCCTGTGGGTACAAACACAGATACAAACATGCACACACACACACGCACACACATGCACTAACTAGGAGAATCTTGTCAGCTTTTGCACGCCTGTTGCCATGGAGATTTCCATTGCTGCCCGTGCCTAGTGATGGAACATCAAACGAGAATGCACCATTAACCACACACACTTTTGTAGACGCACAGCTGCTCCAGAGCCCCACAGGAGGAGGGAAACAGAGGCTGCTACTTTTATCTTACTACACAGAAGGGTTACGGTGTTACCAAGCAGGGAGTGAGCCAGTAACATTCATAATATGGGAGTCAGGAGCAAGTGAAAGACAAACTGAACTGCACAGTTGAGGTAAAATGAGAGATTGAGTGACAATATGACTACCAGTTTTAATCATAGTTTGAAATAGTTTCAGTTGATTTGTGATGGAACAAATGTAGGTTATGTAAATATATATTACTTACATACATACAGGTTTTATACAGGTTATTATTTATTTACAAAAAGGTAAACAATATTTGTGTTGCCATCAGGGCACTTAAAAGAAATTGCACACACACACACACACACACACACACACACACACACACACACACACACACACACATACATTCATCAGACCCAGTGGTCTATGAATTTTCCGCCTATTTCAGCTGGCAGGTGCTTGTTTTGTGTCTGTACAATAACACCTAAAATCTATAGCTATAATCTGTAGTCAATAGCTTTGTAAATTAACATGTGCATTAATTTTAGATGAAGATACAGCAGATGTCAGGTTTGTGATAGGTACAGTTAATTAAAAAAAACAGATATACAGTGTTATCGTTTTAGATATTTCAAGGGCATATGTTTGACTTAGTGATTTTGAATTTTCTAATTTTAAGTAGTACTGGCTATTGTGGTGTCACAAGTATTGAAATGGAGGGGTAGAAATTGAATCTTTTCCTCTTAAAACCTAATACAAAGTGTTGGTTGAAACACTCCTCCACCAGTTGAAGTATTTTTAGTTTTCAGTATGATGTTTGCCTTATATGGCTAAAGGCTAGTCAACGCTCAGTTTAATGGTGAATTAAGCTAACTGATTGCAGAGAATGGACACATTGTGTGCTTCACTAGCTAGCCTAGGCCAGGAGGGATGCCCATCCTATCATTAAGAATTACAGTGAGTTGGATTGAAATGGTTAAAATGCTTGTAAGTTTTACTAAATCATTGCTTCTAACTTTCTTTGCTTGTTATGAACTGCTAATCAGTATGTTTATCATTTTTGTGGTGCTTTTATTGTTGTGCTCACCATGCCAGCTTCTGTTCTACTTGTTGCCATGGCGGTTTTGAGTCTTGAATGTCATGTTGTGCCTGAAATATGCAGTACAAGTAAGCCTATCACAAATGTCAGCATCAGTCTCTGCAAAACACTCGGCACTGCGGAGTAGGTTTTGTTCTGTGTGTGTGTGTGTGTGTGTATGTCTGTGAAGTGCACATAAACCTGGATAAATGGTGTTTTGGGGGGATTTGCTGCAGATATCTGAGTTGTGTGTGGGTGTTTTAATCTTGTAGCTCCATCCATCCACACGGTGCTGTTAAAGTTCATTGAAAGAGCAATCTTTTATAATAGTTTTTCTGAATCTACTCTATTCCCTGAAGTTTCCTCAGAAGCCACAATAGACTTTTAACATGTTTTCCCCTGTTTTTTTTTGTTTTTTTTCCTGATGTTTCAACTCAACTTGTAATGTAGGAAGCGTAGTCAGATGACTTCTGTGAATGTCTAGCATTGTAAGACCTTGTGTTAAGACAGGAATGACAATAGCGCAGGCCCAAAATAACCCTGTTGCTCCCTGGGTTAAGCCCCCTGTGTTTTCAATTAACCTGCCAGTGCATGTGAGATTACTCCCTGCAAGGCAAACTTCCATTTGTTCAGTTTTTATTCACCACTACTAGGAGTCCCTTTGCATCTAGTCATTAAAAAGGCATTTATCAATCTAATTAAACCTGGACTGATTTGGAAATGAATTGAATAATTTGAACAATGCATTAAAATACTGGAATTGCAATTATATGCATGCCCCACTGAGGTTGTGGCATGTATTACACCATGTCACAAGCAGCTACAACCAACGCCAGATGTGCACACAGCCCAAATGTTCCGATTTTTTTTGGATTATCTAAATTGAGCCAATGAAGCCACAAGAGGTTTGACCCTTGCATGTTCACCCACACACACTCTATCTGCAGCAAGTCCCCCAAAGCGGCATTTAAACAGGACTGTGTGCACTATACACACATATCAACAAATCGTGAAACGTGTAAATATCCTAATCCCCCACCAAAAATAGCTTCATATTATAAAACTATGTTCCTGTGTTTATTTGAAGATGAATCACATTAATCATTTTAATTGCTGAATTAATTCAGTGAATGAAGTGTGTTCATGTGTGTGTGCGTGTGTGTGTGTGTGAGTGTGTGTGTGTGTGTGTGTCAGCATCTGTGTTTATGTGTGAGGATCTGTTTGCACATGCGTATTTGAGTATGCTCTTTTAGTACATGTGTGATGACAGATGAGTGATTGTGGATCTGCTACTTTTGCGTGTCCTTTACTGTGTTTACTCTAGCGCAGCAGCACAAGGCAGATCATATCTCCTCCATACTTAAAAGGAACAAACCGAGGAAAGCTGGAGAGCCATAATCTTTTTGTAGTACCTCTTATTTCAATGGGGGTGATGCGATACGTGTGTACTGAAGTGTGTCTTTATAATGCTAGTGCAAAAAAGAAAAAGAAAAAGAAGAAATATACACACCTTGGCTCGGTTCTAATGCACAATGCATCACTGTTTCATCTTAACACAGAAGCAGTGTCTTTCTATGACTGTTGTCTGCTTAATTTCATGAAAAAAAACACATACAGTATTATGTAACGGCTGTTGGGAGATGGGTTATGTGTTGTGTATGTCATGAAACATGTAGGCCAAGATGAGCTTAGGATGTTGCTACAGTTCACATTGCAGCTCTGTGACTCACTCCGGCTCTCTTCTGGTTGACTAAACACACCCCCCACCCTCAACCCCACTGGGCTTGACTCATCGTGACTCGCTACAAATGTGCATCCTGCATATATGCAAAAAAACTCTTTTCAGGACTGAGCACAGTTTAGGCATTTGTGCCTATATATGCTTGAGTCCAAAGACTGATTTATGTGCACAGACGTGTCTTTGGACATGTCTTTTTTTTGTGGGATGTTGACACATCTTTTTCTCTGTTATCAGCACATTTTCTGTCTCACTCCACATAATATGAATTTGGAAGCCCTGTAGGGGCATTGGTCTTCAGTACATTTAAAAGCACAGCCCACAGTGCTCGGGCAGTTTTATGTTCAACAAGGGGTGAATCAAAGGTGAGTGCCGGAGGCTGATGGAATCTGGTGCAATAACGTGCAGTAATCGATCCGGTAGCAATTTCTCACGTGTACAAAAACCTAAATTATGAGTCACACAAAAATAGCTGAGGTTCCAAAGAGATGTGGCCACATGAGCGGATTATATTACAGCTGAAAAGCAACCTCTCAATGGCATAAAGGTCAAGGAATTCGTTTTCCATCAATTCAGACAGTATATCAGTGCCAACCAAATCTGTGTAGAAAATGAAAGCGGAATGTTGCCAGAAATCTCAGTGCTTGATGCTGAATGAGCAGTCAAATCCAGTAAATGGGCTGCTGAATATCTCTAAATGAATACCTCTGGAGAAACCGTAATGTAGGTCTGTTTTTTCTTCTACTGCAGTCTTCTAATGCCAAGCTGTTCTCCTTAGTGTGCTTCAGATGTGTGTGGAATTTTCCTCCCGCTTGAATAATCTTCTCTCTCCCTCTTTGTCCTGTCATCTTCCGGCCGTTTTTTTTTAAGTAAAGCTTAGAGCAGCAAACAGTGCAGACGCAGCCCGCTGCTGCTGCTGCTGCTGCTGCTGCTGCTGACGGCAGTTAGGAATTGTGCTCTTCTCATGCTTTGAAATAGTGAATATGTAATGGAGCAAGACATGGGGAGGAGATGTTTGTTTAGGAATAAGAAGTGAACGAGACAGAGGCAAATAGTCGGAAGCACACAGTAGTGTTGGGAATAAAAGCTGCGTCTACTCTTTAACTGAAAGAGTAAATATATATTTGAATATGTGGTTATGTACCATTTTGGGATCCTGTAATTGATACTACTTTATATGCTAATGCTGCAATGTGCTCAAGTGTAATAATTTGGAAAATCTTACTGTACTAATAATCATTACAGATTCTACTACAGAGATCAAAAAGTGATCATACTTATCACTACACGGTCTCTTCAAGCTTGGTTCCCCTTGGTGGTCTGCGCCACCATTACCATTATGTGCTGCTTTCTTAGGCGACAGAACAGGACAGAAACACAATATTGAAGAGCAACACATTCCACTGGAGGGAATCATTTGACTAATTTGACTAAAACAGGAGGGATAGATGAATCTCCATCCTCCTCTCCTTCTTTTTTTTTGTTTTCCTCCTGTCCTCTACCTAAGCTTCCTCATCATAGTGGTTTATATTACAAATCAACCCTGCCCTCCGTCATGCCACGTGCTGTTAATGGCAAAATATTGACACAAGGGTTTTTTCAATTCTACGAGAATGAATCCACTAGGAAAATGCATCAGCGCTGTCACATACAAGAGCCCACCATGGAGGGAAAAGAGATGAAGGGAAGACAGGTTAAGAAGGAGGGTAAAAAACAATGGATGTGTGGACAGATAGAAGGATGGCGTGTGAAGGGGGTGGGGCTTGCAGAGCAGGGTGGATGATGTTTCCATCTGTGTACTCCACCTTATGCACGGTCTCAGGAAACCCCTTCCACTGGTTGCACACGGCACGCAGCGCTACAAGGCTGCAGCACGACACGCACACGTAGCCCATGATGTAGGAGGATGATGACAGGAGAGAGGAGGAGGCGGGGAGTGGGGGGTGGGAATGGGGGGGATGCGGGAGGGGGAGACCGCCACTGAGCGTGCCGAGCGAGAGAGTGAGTGAGAGAGTGAGTGAGTGAGTGAGCGAGAAGAAAAGGGCAGAGGGAGCGTGAGCGAGTGAACGGGTGAGATAAGAGAGAGAGCAGCATCATCTCTTGAGCACATTCAGCTTGCAGCAGTTCAAGAGGCAAGCAGGCAGAGTAGAGTAGAGTGGGGAGAACACCAGCACCTCACCGAAGGGGACGACACCACACCACACCTCTCTGTCGCAGACGCACACTCTCTCACGTCACACACGCATTTGTGAGGAAGACGTGAGGCTCAGGAGGAGGAACACCTCATAACACGCTGGCTGCTGTTTTGCTGGCTTAGCTGCGCTTTGGAGAGCTGTCTCTTGAAGACTGGACCAGAGCTGTATCCATCGTTTCATCCATCCTTTCCTTCCTGCTTTCCATTTCCTCCAACACAGAAGCAGCTCTCCGTCACCTGTCCCTCCATCATTTGGACTGATTTGCTCTCTGTCATTCATCTAACCTCTGATAAGTGTTTTTCTCTCTGTCTCTGCTCTCATCCATCCAGCCAAGAAATTTAGAGACACACTTAGAGAGCAGGTAACCGACCAACTGAGAGACCGACCTTTCAACCGCAATCATGAACTTCCTTCGACGCCGTCTCTCTGACAGCAGCTTCATGTCCAACCTGCCCAACGGCTACATGACAGACCTCCAGAGGCCTGACCCACCTGCTCCTCCTCCCCCCACCGCCTCCTCACCTGCCCAGCAGGGCGCACCCCCCGCCACAGCGCCCGTCCCTGCCCAGTCCCCGACCAAAGCTCCAGCACCCTCCCAGGCACCAGCCAGCTCCCCCGCTGCTCAGGAGCGGCGTCCGACCCAGCTGGCTCAGCAGCCTCAACAGGCCCAGTCCTCCTCCTCCAGCGGTTCCTCTGGCTTCTTCAGCTCCTTCAGCTCCATCACCAACGTGGTCAAACAGACGGCTGCGTCCGCCGCCGGGTTTGTGGAGCAGTCGGCTCCGTCTCCCTCCCTCTCCAAGAAGTTCAAGATCCTGTTGATCATTGACGAGCCCCAGCATGAGTGGTAAGTGTTGAGATACAAGCAACTTTAATGATTGGTTAAGTGGTGTCCAGTTGATTATCTGGTAGTTGATGTGAGTGGTGGTTGTGCTGAATGAAACTGGAATATTTAGTGAACCCTCAACAAACAGGCACACGTCTAAGTTTATTTGGATGCTTTATTTTGATGTAAAAATGTTTGGTTTGTAGTCAGAGAGAAGGAACATGATGTTCTATTAATTTAAAAGTGGTGTAATGCTAACCGACACTAATTTGAAATAAGATGTTGATTAATTTGGAGCCTTTGATGGGATCGACGTGATTAAATGGTTCACATGTTCCAATACAGTAGCCACACACAAATAATTATCCTTATTATCCTTATGTCCCATGTCCCTCTGTTGTTTTTGTTTGTCCCTCATGTCTTTATATTAGATTGTATTCTCTCCTCTCACTGAAGCTGCTCCCAAAATAGAAGCAGCTCCATTAATCTGAACAGACAGGACAGCGTCTCTCTGGGGTTCAGATTCACACATCCCACCACCCAGCACTGTCACCTGTCTCTATTTTTGTGTGTTTATATGACTCTTAATGACGTCGTGTGTGTGTATGCGTATGAAAATGCATGTGTGTGTGTTTGTGTGTATGCGTGTGTGTATGCGTGTGTGTGTGTGTGTGTGTGAGTGAGAGTATTAGAGAGCTCTGAGTAAATGTTTCCATTCCTTGACAGCACAAATTGGCTAACAGGATATTATCCTTATGCTATCAATTCATACATCATACACTGTTCAAGAGCATGTAGCTCTGAATAAAACATTGCATTCTGCCTGTGAAATGTGAGCCCTTGGCTCTGTAATAATGTTGCTGTCCCACTCGCTGCTCTCTGTCCCTGCAAATCACATTTTCTGGCTATAAAGGTTTTCTGTGTGGATACTGATGATGGATTTTACAGCCATTCATTGCTGCCATTATCTAGGGGTAGTTTTATTTTGTCTGCCTTGTATTGAGGTCTACGTGATTAAGTGGTGGCCACATGAGATGCTTTTGACCTTTTCAATTTAATGGACATTGTGGAGTGTTGTCATATGGCAGTTATTGTTTGGCATCCCACATAACTGTGTGTCGTTCTGTTGCAAACAAAAACCATGTAATGTGGTTGAAAGCATTACAGAACAAGTGAATAAGTGGACCTGGAGTTGAGATCGTTGCTGTTTCCAAGGTCAGGAATGAAGAGGCAAACAAACTTAGACGAGAGGTCCTCGATGGGCTAAGAATCTACAGTTTAGTGACTATTGAATGAACTACATTTGCAGATAAAGACCATGTGATATGAATTCAGAACCGTTGATACAAACAAAAAGGTAGAGTTTGAGTTGATATTTTGTTTTGTTTATTAACTTTGCATGGGTTTGTGTATATTGGTTATATTATGATTTTGGAAGCTGACTCTATTCTGCTTGCAAAAGTGTCGTTTTAGTTATAAACATAGACTGGAAACATTCATTTACAATTCTAGGTCAGTAAATCTTTGGCACATGAATATATTTAAACATGCTTTGGTGCCCAGAAAGAATACAAATACACATCTATTTGGGATCTTGCCATTACAGGTGTGAACTGACATTTAAGTGTCTGCAAAATGTGAGATGCAAATGACACTTAATACTCTGTCACTATTAGTCATTTTGGCACAAATTCCAGTTTCTTTGAGAGACAGTATCCCAAAGGTATAATACAATCTATAGCTGTAGTACTGGCGTATGTTTTGAAATAAACTGGTTCCACGCACCATTGATGTAGTAATGTCTGAGTTACAGGGGCTTGGTTTTCTGATGAATGGTTTTCACAGTCTAGTGCAGTGGATATTATTTTCATGCAATCAGCATGGGATTATCTCTATAAAGGTGCATTATGCATGTCTGACTACATGCATTCTACTACACTGTATTGACTGAACAAGACTGGCAGCTTACCATTATGGCAGTCTTGTATCTCTTGCTGTGAGTGTTTTGGTAGATTGGATGGCTGCCACCCATGATGTGGCGACATCTGAATGCGAGACACTGCAGCCTACATTTAAAAGAGAGGCATTTGAATGCAAGACCTCACTTAATGTAATCCAGCATCTGCATTCTATTTATAATGGCCATACATCAGAATTGCATATATATATATGTGAAATATATTAAAAGAGGTTTGGATTTGCCACTTTGCACCTGTCTGAACACATGAGCAAGTGAAAACTACACAGCCAGTAAAAACACATGGCAGCTGCCTTTTGCAAACATACTGTAGCCTTTGAAACCAGTAGCTTGTTGTTGCTGTAACCTCTCACTGTGTTTTTACAACCTTTTTAAGTGATTTGAAGCAACCACTAACCACGTGGTTTGACTCACATCGTGTACTGTGGTTTAGCAAACAGGGAATGTTTATTTCTTCAAGTGTGACACGTATACAGCATGTATCATATAGCACTGTACTGTATATTGGGGGAGTTTGAGTGTGATGACGTACAACACAAACATGTTCTAAGTGAAGGCTTTAAAATACAATACATAGAGGTAGCCAATACAGGAATTGTCTCTGCCACACCCTTGCCCTGGCCCACACCAAAAAAAAAGTCCAAAATCCTTGAATACAAACTAAAGTTAGGTGCAGGGCAAGAGCAATATCTGTGATGCCAAGTAAGGAATATAATTTAACCTTTAAAAGATGCAATGCAATGAATTTGCAACTTCACTGGCATTATTTTGAGAAGTCATCCCATTTGGTTTGTGAACTCGTTCATCCAGAGAGCCCGACATTAATATTAATGTTTATTCTTTGAAGGCATGCTCGCAGACAGAGCCTCCCTTAAAGCATCTGGGCCAGAGAGGCATTCTGCTAAATGTTATTGATTTTCCACTCAGCAAAGAGCGGGACTTGAGGTTCTCAGTAAGATAACATGGAAAACAGAAAGCGGAAATTTCCCCTCTGTTAATGATTCTGTGTCAATCCCATCAAGGCTATATTCTGATCAGACATGAGACATACCTTGTTTGTTTGACAGTGCTGGTCTCTGTGCACACAAAAATAAATAGTTTTAAAGTTTTTGGAGATAGCACCAGCCTGAAGCCAGACATTTTCCTGGTGTTCCTCTTCATCATATTCTTTATTTCATTTTACAAAAATTACAAAGCTCTTGTGCAAAAGAAACTGTATATTTGATGTGTGCCATTAGCTGAAGGGGACAGTTATTTATAACTACTGAAATTAGTGTAAATTAAATTCATTTGGCAGATACTTCAGTCCAATAAGTGCATTAAATGTCCTTGAGGTCTGCGAGTTTTCAGCCAGTGGCAGAAGACCGGCAGTGACTCTGCAGTCCTGACTTCAAAAATAGATTTTATTTTTATAGTGCTTTTCAAAACAAATGTCACAAAGTGCTTCACAAGGCAATAAAAACAAGATAAAAGACGCAAAAGTCAAAACAGTAAAATAAACTATTAAAACAATATAATAGTATAAAAGAAATCGGCAGGTAATAAAAGTGGTAAAAAAAAAAGTGATAAAAACAATGTATGTCCACACATGGATACATAATCCACAGAATCTATGGGACCAATCCAAATTGTGCTTCAAAAGTAAATAATACTATTTTAAAATCAATTCTAAAATGTATGTGGAAAGCCAACGCTCTTGAGAGCCGTGAGCAAGAAAATTTATTACCGAAACTTAATTGCATGATTTAGAAAATCTAACAAAGCTTTGATCACACAGAAAGTTGCTGTTTGAAATCTTTGGTAAACAAACCAAACATAAATTGAACTTTTCAGTCTGGGAAACACATTTGGTCTGTCTGTGTTTCTATGAATGAATCCATCAACCCAGTTTAATGCAGTGTTATTGCATTGCATATTACCGCACGACTTGTCATTTAAGAATCTAACACAATCAAAGCCCGTGTTAAGCCCACACCAGTGATTTACAATCAATGTTTGATGAGCAGATTGATGGTGAGGCTAAAAGGGAAGGGCATGCAATTAGTATTAGTCATTTTCCACCTGTCAATTACAATTAACTGAGATAAAACATCCTAATAAATATTCCTCACAGGGGTGTTGTTGAGATGTCCAGAGTGGATAGTAATCCAATGGAGTAATGAGAGATAATGATGCTTTTAATTTCTCTTACCCTGTCTGACTTCTTTTAGTCCTTTGCACCTTAATTTGTTTTTTTGCAGAATTAAACTTCCTCTATTTCCTGATTTAAATGTCCCTTTCTAAATCCATTTTGACTTTGCATCTTGAAATAAATGAAAATTAATTGTTCATTTGGAATGAATTGCTAATTGAGGAAAGGTAGACATGCAGATACAGATTTGGGCTATAACTCCCAATAAAGTTGGCATCCCCTTTTTAAATACTGGCTGACAGTTGCATAAGCAACCACAGGTATCATGAGTCTCTTCGCATCTGACTGCCCTCTTCCAGCTCTCAAATATCAGCTATGCTACTGTGATGGCTCGCTCTGGAAAAAAAAAAACAAACACAATGGGGGTCCAGCAATAAAGCCAAGATGAAAGAGTGAATATATTTTCAGGCAATTCAGAATGTGTGTGTTTGACTAGCATCCTGTAGTCTTTATGTAACAGACCAGAGCCCATTGAGATGGGTGAGGGTAGAGACAATGTCCTCTAGGGCCTTTCAAGGTGATACCGGCACAGAGGGGAGGAGGATTTAGGAAGAGAGATAGAGAAGGTTTGGGAATCTCCTTTTTATTCTGGATGTCAGTGTGATGCTCTGCTTGTCTCACCCTCTCTCTGGGGGCCTGTGTGTGTTTTTCTCTCTCTCTTTCCTTTCTCTCTTTGCATCTCTGCCTTTTATCACGACAGTCACTGTGAGTGGCTTGGGAGAAAGTGCTCTGGGTTCATGATGCGATGAAGTAATGAGAAGAGACGTGGTGATTCAGCAGTTTCAGCCCAAAGGCTACATCTGCTCTCTTTCCTTTGCTCTCTATATCTGTCTGCATCTCTCTCTCTCTCTC